CCCCCCCCCCCCTCCCCCTCCCCCCAACCTCCTTTCTCTCTCTCTCTACATTATATAAAAGCAGTGAGCAGAAAACAATAAAACAAAGTAGCAGAGCTGGTTGACATACAAAGTCATGTATTAATATGCTTTTATGAAATAAATAAATTTTAAAGCACAAAAGAGATTCTTGTTCAGCAAATAAAATATTAAAGTATCCTCAAAAAATATTTAGTTCATTAATCAAGATGAAGATGGTGATGATTTATTGTTTTATGGGGGGGAAAAATGGAACTAAAGAGCAAATAAATATCCAAAATTTTGAATAAACTAAAAGGAAACAAGGAATGCAGCAAGGTTTCCCAGTCCCTTTGAATATCAGAGATGGGTGCTCTCTATTGTTGCCTCAGGCAGAACGGCAAAGACAAGCTAAGAGCATAACCCCATCCCGACACAAATTTGGGTGCAATACATCAATGAGACAACCTTGAAGACGCACCAATTCCATGCCAGCTTGACACATCAAATAAATAAAAAAACAGTGGGAAAAGTACAACAATCATGCTATATAGCCAGTAACTAATTCATGTTAACAGCAATTCATTTAAGAACACATCCTTACCTCAAGGTCACCTCCAAAAGATGCTCCATAGACCAAAATCTTTTTGGGAACACAACCACGAATAACACACCTTTGAAATAAAAAATAAATAAAAAATTATAAGCATTTTCAATTTCATTAACTACCCAGTAGTTGAAAAGATATCATCAGACAGTAAGGAAATACAGGATAAGAACAGTGTTATATCATGTTTATAGAGTAGGTATTACACTATTATCATGCAAGTTCACCATAACTAAATTGAAATATTCCGTAAAAAGAACCAGCGAAAGTCTAAAATCGAAATTTATGCGCACAAACAGTTAGTGCTGATGTTAGTGTGTTTAACATTAGCTATAGGGTAGATCATAACTAAATCATCACTACATCGTGTTCATATAAATGCAAACAAATCAGCATACCACATGGAAATAAGACTTTGAATTATTGATCATATCATTAAATCTTGGAGTTACAGCACAAAGAGAAAGTACGATATGCTTCCAAAGAATGTGTATAACTACTTAACCTACCACCCAAAACAATATCCCCCTAGGTGGGGTTAGCTACATAGATCAATTAATACCATTATGTTCTATCAAAAAACACAAGTTGCAATAAAACCATTTAATGCATGATTTCTTTTTTTAATTTCAAGTATCTCCAAATTCTTATAGGGAAGACATTTTGATCCAAAAACCAAATGCCAGTCATTGCACTTAAAGTCAGTGAACAAAGTAGTGACTGTGTGGTGCATATGGCATAAATAACTTGCTTCCATAGCTTCATTTTTCCCAATTTCCAATGATTTCACAAGTGACAAGAATGAGTTGATAATATACTTGCTCATTTTAAGTTCTAAATCTCACAAGTCATACATTACATCCTCTAGTCAGCCCTTAAACCAAATTAAAAAAGAAACAGTCTAACTATCATAACAGCGAGTCAATGAAATGTTGAAATCAGTTTTCTTGCATAGAAATTGAGTCAGCATGAATGGTTTCCTGTTAGGTGAAAATACATGAATGGTTTTGTTATCTAGCATGCCCCCTCTTGCAAGGCATAGGGATGGTTTTATTATCTAACAACCAAGATATTTCCCCAAAGCTGATTTCAGCAGTCTGAAGAGTGGACACAAATCAAAGTAAAATAGAAATACAACAGTGAGATGGGATTGGTTTAGCTAGAGTTGGAGAAGGGTACTGTTACATAGAAGAATATAGGCTTTAAAAAGTTAATAAAGAAAGTAGCCCCTAGATAGATCAAATTGCAAAAGAGGATCTAAATATGATATTTATGTCTTTTTCTTTATTAATTAAGTAGCTGGGACCAAATAGCAATATAGGCTAGTACAATCTTCACAATCAAGGAGAAAAACTGAACAAGTAAGCACACATGAATTGATTAAGCAACCATGGAAACATTTTCTATATTAAAAAAAAAAAAGGTAAAATGAGAAAAACCTCCCAGAAAACCATAATGAGTAGACATATCAAAAAAGAATTTGAAACCAGTATCGAAGAGGAGAGTGTTATCTAAATTTCTTCAATTATACACATAGACATATTTGTAAACATTGTGTAACTAGCATGAAATGTCTCTGTTATAGGTAAGAGACAGAGAGAGAGAGAGAGAGAGAAGAGAGACAGAAGAAAATAATCTACAGAAAGGGAAGAGATGTCAAGTTTATGACTTACGTTCCACCGACTCCTCCAACTGTTTCTGAGCTAATTGGATGAAACGGAAGTTCACAAATCCCGACCTTCAGACACAAGTTGCAAAATATTATAATAGAGAATACAATAAATTAACCAGTAAAATACATACGAGAATAACAGCACAAAGATTACCTTAAATGTTAAGAAAAGATTAATGCTTCTGTAATAGTTATATTTTAGTATTTTGGCACCAAATATGCACAAGTCGTGCTTTTTAAACTCGAGAATTATGATTTCAAAAAGCTGTTCAAATATTTCCAATTATCCCACCACCCTCCAAACATCGAGAAAAACTTCAATAGCTTAGATCCTCAAAGACAAAACTATTTTCACAGATTTATCATCTTTAACACTATAGCACCAAGTGTTAACTGTAAAGCAACAACACAGTTACAAACCTTAGCTCCAAAATTCGATGAAAATCTAGCGGCACGAACGCCACCACTTCCAGCCCCAATAATAAACAAGTCGAAGTCAAAATGTGTCCCTTCTTCCCCACCTTGAACCAATTCAGGTTCGCCATCGATAAGCATCTTCCTAGCCATCGCAATCGAAACCGAACAATTCGAACTAAACCTACATCATCATCATCAACATCGCCAAATGGCAAATCAGTTCAGAAAATCAAACGCTGTTTGGTTGCAGAGAAAATAAGGAAAAATTCAGCACGCTTCCAACTCAAAAATACCGAACAGTCAACACAAAAACATCAAGATCGCTACATTCACCAGTTCAAGACACAGCAGCCAAAAAAAAACTAAAGAAAATAATTGTTGCAGTTTTCGATGTATTCTGTATTTGTTTTCTCTGTTGATTTTCCCGAAAAACAAAATGGAAAATTACCTGCGTCGTCGTAATTGGAGTAACTAGGTTTATGAATGAAGAAACAAAGAAGAACACGACTACGCAGAGAGTATATATAGTAGGAAGAAAGAAAGAAAAAAAAAAAAAAAAAAA